CCCCCCCCCTCTAATCCGCGCCTGTAAGATTGTTAGCACTTTTCGGATGGACTGTAACTGTATCTATTTGAGTCCGTTTTTTAGTCGCATAGTAAGAAAATGTCAAGGCTTTCGCCGAGCAAGAGGAGTTTCAACGTATTATTTCAAACAAATGCACCTTGCAGATCAGTAGTTATGTTTTTTATGGCAAAAGTATAGTTACGGATGGTCAACAGTCCGGCGCTGGACGGAAATGTCCCACAGCTTGCCTCACTTATAATATTCTACAATATCTATAATGTTCTATAATATCTATAATACACTGGAAAAATAAAGGTAGGACTCGAAGGGTTTTCAGGGTTTTCATGCCTTCTCATAGGCATTAAAAATTAGCACCTATGCAAAGGCACTAAAACTGCCCAAAGGTACACTCTCATCCTGTTACTGATTTTTTTTCACCTTTTGTCAGTATTCCTGCTGCGCAAAAACCTTTATAAGCTACTGACAACTGCTTTCATCAGTAATACGAAATAATTCATTTTTTAATTACTGACAATTTCTTCTTTTATCAGTGAGCTACTTACAACGATATACAGAACAAGTAACAAATTAGTCAGTAATCCTGCTGCATAAAAACCTTTATAAGCTACTTATAAATAAATCAGTACAGGTCTGAGAGTGTATTAAAATTTAATGCCTTTGGACACTTTTGTGCCTTTGCAAAGGCATTACCATTTAACACACCTTAAAAGGCATTAGGTCCTCCCTTTGTTGTTCCGGTGTATTCTCGTGTAATACCAATATCCTATAATATTTTCTTTCCAAATCAATAAATCAGTAGAAAACAGTAGATTGAATTGGTCTAGTGCCGCTTGAAGCGTGGAATAACGCGTGCGCGTTAGTCGAAGTTCACCAGAGCACCGGAAAAGCGACTCGAGTCCGTTTTAGGTTGCATGGGTATAGGCACGCACGACCCCTTCTAGCTTCCGAGAATAACCTGTTACCCTTTATAGTATCTTATAGTCACATATAATACTGCATTTAACAACGCTTCAAAATTATTTGCAATGCAAAGCATAGTTCTTCGAAAGCTTTACAGTGTATAGAAGTATTACAGGTATTAAAGAGTTTGTGAGAAAAGTTGCCAGAGTTCTTTGTGAAATCACAACTCTTGTTCGTTGCCAAAATTGATTAACTTTAGAAATGATTACGATTGGTTCACAAATATTTCAAATTAAGACAACAAAATGCACTATTTTTTACTACAAAGAAGTGTTGTGATTTCACAGTTGCTTCGTATCGTGAAAGTGTTGAGAAATCACAAACCATTTTTAACAGTGCCCTGGATTCGATGAAAAATAAATCATATTGTATTTTTGAAAGGCTGTGATTTTAATTGCCGTATTTTTATTTATTTTTCAGGAGTTTTCGACGTGGGCCTTGAAGCGGTTCGCGGTCATGCTGTTCATCCTCGTTCTCCTGACTGAAGTGGAGTTCCGCATAGCGAGCCTAACACTCGGCGCGTGAAGACTCTGCCTCTTAAATTGTTCCGATTTCTTGGTCTTTTGACCAGATCAGAGCACCCAACGGGTCCATTTTCATAGAGGTGTGAAGCAGAGCCATTAAGGCGTAATTCCGTCTTGCCCCCAAACGTTTCAAAGATGGACTGTAAGCGCATTGTGCTTTATACTGTGCAGCTGATCTCTTCAGTGTTCTGTTTGGCTTTTGGGCGCTTTTCCTTTTTGGAACATTCCCGAGGGGGAAACGACTCTCGTGTACTACGGACTACCCCCGGACCCGGATTGCCACAGGCCGTGCCTAGCGAGTTACTTAAGTCATTTCCCCCTCGAACATTCCCAATTACGCCCTACGACTGATATAGTGCGTGTACCTGAGGCGTGACTGAGGTGAGAGCCGTTGTTCTGGTCGACCCCAGATACGAACTAGTCCACTCACTGCAAGTCGAGCCCTTTTGGGATTCAGTGAAGTTAGCGAAAGAAACTGTATCCACGTGCGCGTCCACGTGTTAAGTTTTGCGTTGTGTACTTGCTCATGCTCAGTTCTATGTTCAGGGTGTACTATACGTGCACTCTTCGCGTGTTTTGATCTGGTGCTGCTCCAGTTTAAGTTGGTTTCTTTTTCATATTTATTTGTATTATTCCTAGAAGGTATTTATTTTACGTATATGTGCGCGAAGAAACGCTAATAACACGATGGTTAACGGTGACTTGGTCATACAGCTCGTCCAAATTTTGGTCAAAATTTCGCACAAAAACAGGGTATTTGGACATCGATTTGACGTTAGAGACGTATTTGTTTGTGTTTATGTATGCCCTCATTGTTACTGTATCGTGTTTGTCGGGCAACGCGCTGGACTGTGCTAACCGATGGCCTAAGAGGAATATGGCACTGGAAAGCAAAGGTGTTCGAGTCATACCCTGAAAATGTGCTAAGGATTGAAACTGTCCAAGGAACTGATTTGACTACTTTTAGGGTTCTTTCGTGCTTTGAAGAGGGCATTAAACTCAAAATGTCTTGAGCACCACTTTCAAAGGTATAGCTGAGCACCTTTTTTTCCAGTGTGGCAATGCAAGACTGGTTGATTTTTTTCACAAATGTGATGTCAAGGGCTAACAAGTTTTTTTAATAAATCATTTTCCTTGTGTTTTTAAAAAAATATTTGAACCTTTATTTTGTTTTATTGCAAAACAGATACACCTCAAAGACCCAAATAGAAAAAAAAACACCATACTGTTTCGAATATTTTCTTCCATCTCACATGAAGACATAGATCAGCAGGCTCTAACGCAAGTACAAGACAGCACACATCTGAATGTTCGGAATGCGCAAATATGACCCTTTCATTGTTCGGTTTCTAAAACATTAGCAAAGAAGTGGCATGATCTCTGCTGCTTGTCGGAGGAATCTTACAGCAGCGCGTGATGATCGACGAAGCTGCCGCTGACGAAGTCGTTGTCTCCGACTGAACTGCAGTGATGACCTCTGCCCCACTGCAGTCTACTTTTCCTAGTGCTGACCTGCCTAAAATATTTGGGCAGGCGTCAGCTTGCAGCCTATGTGGATGGGCTGAGCCTGGGTCCGCTGTCAGTCTGTTCGCAGTCTCCGACGCAGCCTGACAAGATGGTGAAAGCCATCGCCCTGGTGCTCCTCGCGAGCGGTAAGTATCTGGCCACGGCCAGAAGCCAACAGCAGGCTGTTTAGATTAATAAAGTGTTATTTTAGGCAATAACGTTTTACTGAAACAAAACGCTTTGATTAACACGTTCAGCGCGGTTTTGTATATTAGGGGTTGGAATAATCAGCAAAGCGTGACCACATTGAGGTCACGTCATACTGAACATAATGCATATTGGGGATTGTTACTTATAATATCACAATCAGAACCCTCTCGATTTCTTTCTTAAACATGTATTAGCTTTATTGTTCAAGCTTTTAAGAGTTTACAGGGGGAAAAAACTAGACTGTGCGTGAAATCGAAAATGAGTATTTTTAAGGTGGGCCCTCTCTTTCTCGTCCCTTCCGTTTCGTGTAGTCCAGAGCAGAGCAGAGACCACAATCCAAAATCGATAATTAATCTGTAAGAAATCTAAAAAGGCGATTTCCTGAGAAAACGCGTTAAGTGCTCGGCGTGACGTGTGTGGGGGGTGGGGTGGGGGGGCACGGCAGCCAAGCAGACGTGGCACGTTCCGAGCTGTAGGGGTGGAAGGGTTGGCTCAGCGCGCCGCACAAAGTGCCGATAAGGCCCCTCCGGAGCCGCGCGCTGCCCGCGGGCCTCGCGGCTATCTCCTTCACAAACTGTGGAGTCTGCAACCACGGGCCGAACCACGGGCCGGGCCACGAGCCCGACACAGCTGCAGTTTTTCTTTTCGGACGCTGATAAAGTCGTTCCTCTAATACACCCCTTGTGTTTCAATTCCAATTGACTACTCTGCGAATAATCAAATTATCCGATTCGAACACAGTGGTGCGGCCCGCAATTGTTTTAACTTTTACACGCGCATAATGACTGTCTGTCTTGCAAATCGCAGCTCTCGCCGTCGCCGCCTCCGCATCCAACGCCAATGGTAAGTAAACTGAACTTACCCTCTAGGGAGTGTTGTATGCGCACGCACTTACCTGGACACCCTTCCTTGCAGCCATCCAGTGGAAGCTGCGCCCCCGCGTGGAGTACGAGTTCGAGCTGGGCGGCCGCAGCCTCGCGGGCCTGCCCGCCCTGCAGGGCCAGTACAGCGGAGTCCAGTACGGCGGTCGCGTGCGCGTCCAGGGCCTGACCGCTGACTCGGCCATCATCCGGGTCGGTATTCTTCTCCCCGCCCCGCTCTTCGAGCGATAGTAAAGCGAGGCCAACTGACCGCCCGTCTTGTCCCGCCCCGCAGCTGGAGAAGATGTCCTGGTCCGCCATGCACGGCCGCTTCCAGTCCGGCTGGTGGTCCGCCGAGCCCCAGAGCAACGCCACCCTGGCCGGCCACGCCCACATGGGCGCCCTGCCCATGCCGCTGTCCGGCGCCGCGGCCGTGGCGCGCTTCCAGGGCGGCCAGGTGCAGTCCGTGCTCGTGAGCCCCGAGGCCAAGGACTGGGAGGTCAACATGCTGCAGGGTGTGCTCGGCCACCTGCAGATCCAGGGTAGCGCCGCCTCCGTCTCCACCTCCGGCGCCAACAGCCTGCACGGCCGCAGCCAGGACCAGCAGACCGACCAGGCCGCCTACCGCGTGCTCGAGGTGAGCACGAGCGCCGAGCGCCTGCTGACTCGTTACACCAACCGTGTGGCAAACTCCCTCAATGCTCATTCTTCGACGTTGTTTCGACCACCCCGACCGACCAAAGCGCATACCCGGCTTCTGACGGACTCTCGCTCTCCTTTTTCCAGAACGGCGTGTCTGGCCGCTGCCTCGTCCAGTACGAGGTGTCCCCCGCCAACGCCCCCGCTCAGATGTCCGCCGCCGAGGCCAAGGTGTGCGCCGGCAAGCCCTACGTGCAGATCACCAAGACCAAGAACTTCACCGACTGCGAGCAGTACGCCGAGCAGAGCCGCGGCCTCCCCCGCTGCTCCCCCGCCGGCAACGCCTGCGCCAGCCTCTGGGCCGTGAGTGTCCCCGAGTGTCCCCACCCCGATGTGACTTATGTTCATTGTTTCCTCCTCTAAACATCTCCCGTCGCCCCACAGCGCAACTCCATCTCCCAGCTGATCGGCTGCGGCTCCGGCGACGACATGCAGCTCCTGCAGGCCGTGAGCTCCAGCAGCATGCAGGCTGAGCTCCAGACCCGTGAGGACTCCCGCGCCTCCGTCTTCAGCTCCGTCAACATGACCCTGACCAGCGTGCAGCCCGTGCGCCAGCGCCTGCCCATCCCCAAGGACGGCGTCGTCCTGAACGGCCTGGGCTACCGCGTCGCCGGCAAGCAGGCCAACGGCCAGTGGGGTCTGGACAGCAACTACGGCAGCAGCGAGGAGAACGACGACTCCATGGACTCTGTTGAGGTGGTCCGCCAGCCCAGCCGTCAGCAGCAGCACAGCTCTGAGCAGGACGACAGCAGCGACAACACCAGCGAGTCCAGCAGCAGCAATGCTCGTGCCCAGCACAAGAAGAACAACAGCCACAAAAAGAACCACAAGTCTGACAGCTCTAGCTCCAGCGCCAGCTCTAGCCAGGACAGCCAGTCTGACGAAAAC